TGCCACAGACAGGCTGCCATGGAAACATTTGTTTTCATTCACTGGTGGCCTGCATGATAAGAAAGTCTGAGTGGTACAGGAATGACGAAAGAGTATAAATTACCAATGGCCTCAGACAGCTGAGCCTTTCAAAATGAAATCTAATTATTTTACCATTTATTTAGACAGATTATGTTACAGCTTTCTGCCCTCACATTGTGAGTGACAGCATGTATATATTTAGAGCAGCAACAAAGACAAATTCCAACTTGTTTTAGGAAGACACTTTAAATTAGGCTATGTGTAATGGAGAGCATGACAGCTTGTTCCACTTGCATCTTTTAATTAAAATGCAGTGGTCTAGATAACAGAAAATTGAGATGGGGCTGATATGCACAAAAAGGGAAATAAATCCTAGAAGAAACATATTGTACTACAGCATTTGAAAGCTCCTACTTAAAGCTGAAGAAACCCAGAAATAAGTAATTTTTGCTTGTTTTCTTGAATCTTAGGAAAAACTTGAAGTAGTGCGTTCATTGCCTTTTTTAGGTTATCTGAAATTAATTTGCAGTCTTGGATATTGCTTTCTCCTTAGCTCTTCAAACCAATGAATGCAAAGCATAGGTCTAGCTTGCTTAAAAGAGACAATTTGAAGTGCAGTTGTGGCCACAGCCCTGGCCTTGAATGCTTTGACAATCAACATTTCTGAGCATGATGCTGGCTGGGAGAGCACAATGAACAACCCAAGGAGAACCACTGCCAGCAGGGGCAGACATCTGGTGGAAACCACCAGGCTTTGTCCCTCTGAATGGACTGCATCGACTCCTGTGATCCAACGCCCCTCAGAAATCTCCAGGCTCTTCATGACATGGGAGAAACACACAGCTGCCCTGAGGCTGTTTGTCTTGGCAGACTGGGGACAATGTCAATGTACAAATACCTCTTTTCCAAAAGCCAACAGCTTTCCCTGGGGAGGGGAAGCACCATCAGGTGGCCATCCCACCTTGGAAAGGAAACCCTGCTCTGAAATAAGGCTGCCACTACCATCTGCAGGCTTCTGACAAGAGCAGCACTGGGGGTACAGATGGTGACACTGGTGGTTTATGGTTTTGGAGGAGGATGAATGAACAGGTTGGGTTACCTCCTTAACCTGGTTTTGGCTTGTAATGTGTTACTGCATGAAAGACTTTCTGGGTCAGGACAGATAGAGCACACAGGCAGTAACACTGCAGGGCCTCAAGGGAAAGCTTTTACCTGGTATTTGCTTAAGATCCTTTCACTGAATGGAGACTACATTAGATGACCCCCTGTTAACCTCAGCTTTGAAGTTGGCTCCACTACACTTTCCCTCATACATCTCATACAACATGAAAAAACCCCCAGTGTCACAAATGCAAAGCCCTGAATGTGAGAGAGATTGAAAGATATAGCAGCAGACAGTGAAAACGTTCAGCATTAAAAATGGAATAAGAAAGAGGGGCTTCTGAAACGAAGGACAGCAAGGGCATAATGGATTAACCAAACTTGCCTCAGAAGTGTCTCAATCTGTGAGTACGTGCCACGTCGGCTGCCAGGTCATTAGTGGGATGAACACATAATTGATAAGCTGCAGGTTGTGCTCTACTGGAGAGCAATAAGCTCCTTTAAATTACATTAATATTTAACATACATAAAAAGCATTTGTCATTTGCAAAGCACTTTATAGAGTAACTGATGGATTCTATAATGATCCCCAACTCCCAGAGTAGGGAATGCAATTCTGGAGAGATAAATACCTGGCCTGCATCCAAATCAAGATTCACTGACAGAGCTATTATTCTAGCTCAAAATTAGGTTTCTAAGTTTCTAGTCCTTCCAGATTACATTGCTTTGTAGCCTTCAGTGGGTAGAAGCATGATACACACAGAGCAGAAAGAAAGGAGCTGACAACACAGGGTGACATTTCTGACTCACATTTAAAAATTGTCACATCCCTACCTTGGGTCACTGTCACTCTGAAAGATCCAGTTATGTGGGTTGAACACAAGAAATGGAAGTATTAAATATTTGATTGCCATGTTGTCTGTCCCTCTCCCTTTTCTTTTAAAGAATTAGTCTTGGGGTACTTACTGACCTTCATCATTTGTTGGGTGCCTTACTATACTTTATATTTTATATATATATATAAGAAAGAACTGCAAGTAGCTCACTTGCTTACAGCATGGTGATAATAACACCAAGGGAGCGGGTTCAATCCCTGTATTGGCCATTCACTTAGGAGCTGGACTTAATGATCCTTTTGGGTCCCTTCCAACTCATAATATTCTGTGATTCTGTAAAACTTCGTGGCTTTGTGTGCTGCTGACAGAGAATAACACACATACACACACACACACACACACACACACACACACACATATATATATATATCAGTATGTATGTATGTATGCTTGTGCATATATACATTTTCCCCCCTTTATATTGATACAGTGAGTTCACTTGAAGGTGATCCTTAAAATATGATAGCATTTTTTTGAAATATTATGGATTGTTTCTCATGCTGCAGCACTGAGTTTCTGTAACTGACACAGAACTTTATTACCCAAAATTTCTGTAGAACTTCAACTTCAGCCTCCTACACAACTTCCTGAGATGTCACCTGAGACAGACCCTCAGCTTCCCTGCCCTACTGACTCGCTTTGTGAATACTTTTTTACTCCTCTGGAGAAAAAGCACAGTGAAAGTCACATCATTTGTCTTGGCTGGACTCAGCATCCTTTTGCTGTAGCTAAACTTTATGCATGTAGGAAGTGGACTTCCTTTGGATCTACCAAGAACTCCCATGGGCTAGAGTGGGCTGTGCCACAGAAGCACCTGCAGTTGTATCAGCAATACAGATGCAAAGTCTGAATCACACTGTTTAAGGCATGTAAGGTGTCATCACCACCCCAGCTGCACTCATTCCCTGAAATATTTGTTCCTCCTAACTAACTTTGTTTCAATGTACCCCATGGTCTACTCATCATCATAGCCTTACAGCTTCATTATTTGAAAAGTCATCCTTTTAGGAGCTCTCTTCTCATTAGTATTACATTCTGCCAGGGAAGCCTGATCATCTTAGAAGCAGATAGAATGATTACTGATGACAGTCAATACAACTTGAAAATATTTCAGCAATGTAAGTAGAAAAAAATCATACAAAACTTATATTGGACATTATTCAAGAGCTATTCAGAACTTGCAAAGCAGAAGGAGAAATTTGACAAGCAATAAAACAAGATGGCTTCCATATGCCAGCATTTTTATGCTTCAAGAGAACTCAAGTAGTGAAAGAGTGAAAGTTCCTATAAAAAGTATTATTCACAGCATTTTTTTTGCATAAGTGGAAATCTAACATAACAAATCTCCCTTTCTGCTCCATATTAGATTCTGATAAAGCTCAGCCTGCTAGACAAGATTTCCATAGAAATCTTATTTGGTAAGATTTGCTTGATTGTATTCCAAAAAGTGACTCACATTTTAAAAGCAAGTGACAAAAGCTGAAATGAGTTGACTCTTTCCATCAAAGCCAGTATGAGTCATTCCTCCAGCTTAATGGCTCCCACACTATCCCTGAGTGACAAAACTGAGACTGCAGGTCAAGAAATGACCATTTAATAGTCACAAAGGATGGGTCCAGATAGCCAGTCCTAGGCTGAAGGAAACAACATGGGACTTGGCCAGTGAAATGAAAAGATACTTAGCCACATGGACAGCTAATATGCTGTAAGAGTAGTAAAATACCAGCTTCTCTTTGCAGCTCACTCCTAGAATGACAACTTTTGACCCAAACTGTAATGCTGGGGTTAACTAAAAACCAATAAGGTTTTTCCTCACCTGCCACTCTCCAAAGCACCTAAAATGAGAGCAGCTGAAGGACAAGGGGTCTGTGTGCAACATGATTGTAAAGATGGCAAAGATTTGGCTCCCAGTCAGGTAGTCCTTTTCTCCATCCCTTCTCCTTCTCCATGCTCCTGTGGATTTCCTTTTCAAGCCTGCAGACTATTTAATCTCTGCCTTTATACTCTCCTGTTCTCCCTAGGTGGCTTTTCTTCTCCATGGAATTCAGCAATTACCCAAAGGATGGCTGGCTTAGCCAGGCCCTCCAAGACTCATCCTTCCCCTGCAGCCACTGCTTGGTCAGGCTCAGCCTTGTCTTGTGTTCATGACCTTCTGACCTAAAACAGGACAAGGCTGGTCCAGTGCCCAAAAATCACCTTGATGACAATGACTGAATGGAGAAAGGGTCCACCCTGAGATGCTGAATTTTCTCATGCTTACTCTGAGATGCTAAATGTGCTCACTTTTTGCTTTTCTGGGGCCTTCTGGAGTTGAAGGCATCCTCTTAGCATGGGTCTGCCCACAGGCACAGACTGGCTTTTAAGTGACAGCAAAGATCATCCCTCCCAAATGTAGGGAGGTTCCTCTCAGAGTCCCAGCAGGGAAGGCAAGCTTCCTTGCAGAAAAATCACAGCATCTTTTTGCCAGTAACATTCAAACACAGTTATGATTCACAGACATCATGGAAAAGCACACAAAACTCTCCATTCTCACTGCCATTTGTGCTTGACATTTTCCCCACTTGCCCAGGGTGTCTCTCATGCCCGCAGTAATCTCACAATAGTCAGAATTTCTGTATGGACAATGACTCAATGGAAGACTCAACTCAGTAAAATACCAAGGAAAAGAAAAGCCCAGTGAGATCAAAATCCTTTTTTGTTTATGGACTTTGTTGCCCGTACTTTGTTTTCTGCATTCTGCTGTGGCTTGTGCCAACAGAAAATTAATCCACAGTCTCTGGCTGTTTCAGGGAGTGCTCAGAATCCCTCACCTAGCTCAAATCTGTGCACCAACCTCCAGAGAAAACAATGAAAGTATCTCTGTGCTTGCCACTGGTGAAGTATCACGCCATTCATCCTTTTTCTTAAATTAGAAATACAATTTTCACCATTTACCTCCTGACAGGATGAAAAAAAAAAATAAGATGACAAAAAGCCATTTACCTCTACTTCACAGGCGTATTCCGATCCATCCAGGAGCGTCACTTTGCATTGCATATTTTTCGGTTTCTTGACGATCTTTAGAGGAGACTTGGAAAGTTTGCTAGACGAAGATTTTTGAGAGAGCTTGTCGTCCTCTAGCTGCTGATATTCCAACTGTTTTGCACTCGCAGCAGCAAACTCCTGTTCCCTCTCTGTAGCCTATAAAGAGAAAAAAAAAGATGCTTTTTGAAGTAAGATAAACAAATCATGCCCTCCAATTCACTGTACATGCTGCACCCAAGCATTTATATGAGCCTTTTTTGGAGGCTTGGACAAGAAAGCCCCTGATGCAGGACAGTCTTTACTGAAAATATTTCCCATATTCCTTCCAGCCCTCCCTTCTACCTCCAAAATGTACAGAAATGCCCATGAAGGAGGGGCATTCGTGAAAATATTTTAAGGCTTCTACTTTTTCCACAGGTACAAAATCCCACTTCCTGTACTTGCTTTTTGGCATCTTGGAAGCACTGAGTAATCAGTAAATTTTGTTGATGAACAGATACTCCTACACTTTCTTGATATTACTTTGAAGTCCTGTACCTGTTAAATAATACGATGTTTCCATGGTGTCATATGAATAGAAAAACACCATCAAGTTTGCACTAATTTTGCTGTCAGTGGGAAAACAGTCCCTGAATGAGAGCATGGCTCCCCCCTGAACAGCATGAATTCATAAGGGGATTCATCCCTGGGAGAGTGAAAGGCTCCTCAAGCACCCAAGAAAAGGGTTAAGAAAATGTGACAGAAGTGAGGGGCCAAACAACTTTAATGTGCAGCCAGCTGGCTAAACACACAGGATGAGAGGATGAATTTTGCTCTCTGCTGATGCCCAGTAGGTCTCTCAAGCTGGAGAGAAGTAGGTGCTATTTGGAAGAGGGGCAAGAAGTAAATGACCCTGGCTGCTTTTGCTCGGGTTTATCTGAGGGTCAGGGCATTTGAATTTCCCGTGATGCAGCACAGTCCCCAGTCCTCTCCACAGCTCTAGATGAAAGCCAGAACAGCTCTACAGCATTTCACCCTTCCTAGCAACAGCACTGTGCTGCAGTCATTACCCTTCTCATCAGTTATATCCCTGATAGACTCCAAACAAAACCTCAACAGGAGTGCAGTAATACCTCATCTAGAGCTTAAGTTAAATAAAAACATCTTTCTGTTATCTCACTACAAGGCAAAAAAAAACCCCAACCTGCTCTGGCTCTGAATTATTTCAGTGTAATAAGCAACAAGCATTAATGGAAATATATTGTAAATTAATCCTGCAAGTCTGTTTCCATTCATTGTATATAATAAACCTTCATGAGAATGGAGCAAATCCATCCCAAGGCTTTAAGCTGCTTTGAGACCAGAACAATGTTGCATCATATAACCTGAAACAACATTGTACCTCTAATCACGGGGTACTGTCCCTGAGTGATTTAATAGAAAAAAACTTTAAGTTTCTCCTCTGCCTTCTGACAAGGGGGGAAAGGACAATTTGGAGCTGGCTGTGATCCCTACACTGTTAGCTGCCACCAAAGCCCACAAATTACAAAGAGGTATGGCAAGACCTCACAGTCCTCCTCTCCCTGCAAGGAGGACACAGCAATGGCCTCCTGGGCATTCCTGGGTGGGGAAACTGGAAAAGAGTGGGGCTTAAAAGATAAAAAGGCAAGAGTTGCTTTCAAAATCTATTGCATCTCCTGGGCCATGAATGTTCTTTCTCAGGAGCAGCCTAGCACCAGCCATCTCTTCCCCCATCTAGCTCCAGCACAAGAGGAATTCCTCCTTCCAGCAGCTGGACACCAGCTCTGTACCTGGATGTCAAGGTACTCACATACCTTGAAAACTGGTGGGAGATGAAGGCACAATGTAGGCAAGTGGATCAGCTGTTTGCTGAGCATTTAACACTCACAGCAGCTGTGATGAAGAGGGAGAGACCCCCTGGGATCACAGCAAGGCTTGAGGCCAGCTAGCCTTCTACCACATCTGCAGCCAGCTGGCAATTGGTCCAGCCTTGTGCAAGGAGAAATAAACAGCACTGAAGATGCCTCCTGCTTGGGCCTCTGTGCAAAACTGCACTGCTGCTGGTAGGCAGAGGTGCTGTGATGATTTCTGTATGTTTTGTCAAAAGAAATCTGCCAGGAAAGGCACACATGCATATATGTTGGCAAAAAAAGTAATTCCAGCGATGGGGAAAAATGCACTGTCTTACCAGTGGCTTATTACATTTCTCATGTGAGGGTTAGCCCTGTGCTCCAACAAAAAACAACCAACAAAATACCCCAGCATGGAACTAATCTCTTTCAACAAAACAGAAAAGCTGCTTGAGAAAAAAATTCACAACAAGGACACCCCTCATCCATTTAAATCTTAGAACCATACTCAGCCTGTGAGCAATTTATGTGAATCCCAATGGACTAGTCATTATTTGCCTTCATAAAGACAGTCAGTAGTTCAAGACTACTGCAGAGTTTTGCTTATTTATAAATATTAAAAAATATTACTGAGGTTATTTTGTTTGTTAAGGTTCCCATCTACATTAAGATCAGGGGACTGTGTCTAGGTTAAAATCATACAAAAGGTTTTCCTCTCATTTTTCTGGAGAACAAAACATGCCAAGAACCATTAGAGAAAATTCCCCCAAACTATGCTGACATGTTCAGGCATTGAGGTACTTTCAGACTGTATTAAGTCTCTTCTTCCTAAAGAAACCTGACATCCTGGAATCCAGGAAAAAAAAAATGGCCAGTGAAAGACCCATGTACACAGTGAATTATTTTTCACTCTGCAACATGGATTCATTTCTCCTAAATTCTTCTCCAAGGTATTTCTGCACTGTTTTGTTTGTTTGTTTGTTTTGCGTTTTTTTGGGTGTTTTGGGGTTATTTTTTTGTAGTTTCTGTGTCCTGTTTTTGCAGTATTTTTAAAGTACTATGGACAAAATTCTAATGCAGCACAAGTTGCTTCAGGGTTTGCATTTTTTGAGCAAAATCTCTCCCATGTATGACACACTATGTTCAAGCCCTTCTAAATCTGGACCTCCTCTCAAAGGATGCCTCTGGAGTCAGGGGATTCAGCAATAAAGATCTTGGATCTTTAGCTCTGCAGCTTCTCACTGGGGTATGAAGTGATGTTGCCACACTTGCAAAACACATGAATCCCATCTACTTATGGTAGTTACTCAGAAACTTTGGTACCTGACCTTGTGTGATGCCACCTTTTCTTTCTCAAAGAGACAGGAAGGCAGGCAGAAAGTGAGGTTGCATTATTACACCTGATAGGAAGGACTCATTTTTCTGATACCTGTTAATCTCAATATGAAAAGGTTATTCACCTACATTAAATTGTTGGGGGGTTTTATGGGCATAGGATGACAAAGAAAAGTTACTGTCATGGATTGGTAACTTAAATCTTCTTTCCCAAGGTTCTCTCATACAAGAGCAAAAATACACTCTCTCACTGTGATTATGGACAGCAAGAGGGAGAATAAGATCCTTCAGTTTTTGGCTTTTTAATGACACTATTGCAAACAGCTTTGTCTCTTAGTGCTGCATTTAAATGTTCCTTTCCTGATACGCAGACACTTAAGGCACAATGAAATACACTGGGCTGATCAGTAGAGTTGGATTTGGCAGTCTGCTTACAGCATGGACATTTGGATTCAGTCTGGTAATCTCAGCAGGAAGGTGTCACATATCCCTTTCACTAACCCAGTTCTTCTATCTTGCCTTCTACAGAAAGCAGCTCACTGGTGATCTTTGGGAAAAAAAGGGGATCATGCAGCACATGAGAGCACCCCATACCTCTAAACACATGTGGACAGGCTTGGTGTCTAAATTAGTTTGGGCTTTTTTTTGTGTGTGTGGTTATTTTGGAGTTGGGCTTATTTTGTTGTTAGAAGTTTTTTGTTGCTGTTGCTGTTGTTTATTTGTTTTACATTTTTAATGTGAAAAGAAACTTGAAGTGGAAAGATTACTGAAGATGTCTGGAAAAACATCCACATAAATAATAATACTTATGCCAAAGACTGATAGAATTACACTTTTAATCAATGACCAGTTTATTCAACACCTATCTCTTTTGGAGAAGCTTTGCTCCTTTTCCCCAAACTAATCTCAGGAAACTTCTGATCTATTTGAGAGATAAAAATTGCTTCACCAGCATTGTCTACCCCAACCAGGTAAAAGAACAGGAGCCCACTTCAAACAGCCAGAATCTTTAAAAAGATGGAGAAGAGGAGGAGCTAGACTGGCTTATTCCACTCTCCAAAGGTAAATGTAATCAGATGAGGGTCATAACCTTACAAAGCTAAAGGAAGAGATTTGCAGGTACCTCATTAATTGTATGTCACTTACCCATGAAGAAAAATGCCTGTTAATCCTATTGACTGGAAATTATTAACGGAAAGAAGAAAGCAGCTTCTGGAAATTTAATAAGTGCAACAATGAACTAAATGGAAAAGCATGCAATAGCTCTTCTGAAACCTATTACATGAATAGCTCAAGTAATTATAATGCAGTCATTTCAGACCCACGAGAAACTTAAGGGACCACAGCTTCTTCATGGCTCACACATCAGACAAGCAAGCATGAAATCAGTGTTCAGCAGGTGTCAAAAGAAATGAACTCTGAAAACATTTTCAGCTTCATAAAAACTGACACTGTTTGCTATCTAATGCAAACGCAAGGTCGAAGATGTTTCCTGCTTAGTTAATGAGACTGCCCTCCTGTTTAAGCACTGGGGGCAGGAATACCTGCCGTGAATTTGAAAACATTCTGCATGAGAACTATTTTTCCTTTAAACGCGAAAGACCAACCAGCCCAGACCTACAGCATCCCATCAAACACCCCTCCACGCGTATCTGAACGTATATTTGCGCTCCACGCGTGCCAGGCCGGTTATTCCCCGGGAGCAGGAGGTGGGCACTCAGCCAGCTGCGTGCAGTGAGTGTGTGTACGTGGGCTGCCTTACCTGCTCCTTTCTGACGGGCGTGCTGTGCGCTGCCACAGCCGAGAACTGCTCGAGCGCGGTCTGCTGCTCTTCACTCGGCTGCTGCTGCGGCTGCTGCTGTGGCTGCTGCTCCTGAGGCTGGGTCTCTGCTGCCCCTTCCTGCGCAGGGCTCTCCTCCTGATCCTGCTCTTTATCCTTGGACTCGGAGTCTGATCCCGATTCTGTAGTCATGGTTGGTTATTCTGCAAGACAGGGTGAGCAGACCTACTAAGTACAATCTCATGGATGTGAAAGATCAGATGGTTTTACTCTCAATATCCTCAGCCTTTAAAACTTAACTGCCTATCACACTGGACCAAACAGAATCCCTAGGAAAGCTTCCCTGGTGCAAAAAAACCAGGTGTAAATGCATCCATACTCTAGAGAAAAAATACGTTGCCAAAAAATCTTATTCTACATAGTAATACACAGACATCATAGGACTTATGTGCAAGTTAAATACAGAATACATAGCTCGCAATTCATAGAGAGAGAGTAACATATTGGGCCTTAAATCTAACAAAACCCAGTGGAGTTTGGGTTTCTAAACCATGTGGAAACTTGAAAAATGAAATCTTTTGTCCTTTACATTTAAATCAACAGGACTTAAGCTCCTCAACATCTGCACTCCCTTTTGGAAATGTACTTTTAATGCTTCCAAGCAATATATTAATAGCTGAACTAGATGATCTTAGAGGTCTTTTCCAGCCTAAACGATTTAATGATTCTATTAATACTAGAAACATCTGAAATGGGTCCACCAATAACAGTGCAAACATACATTTGCCCTTAAACCCTGTTTTGTCCTCCCCACTTGAGTTCATCTACATTTCTGTCATTTCTTTATAAGTGCTAGACCATCTAAAAGAAACCATAAAGACTTCCATTAAGTCATTCTAAGTGTTAGATTTCAAATGAAAGGAATACAACTTTCATTGAATGTGAAAAGTCTATGTTTCTACATAACTTTGTCCAGTACTAAATCAAAATGAAAATATTAGCAATCTTCATTCAAAATTTTAGCTACTTTAATTAAATAGTTTTGTTGCAAATATGTGGCTGGCACCCAATTCTCAAACTAAATACTTGCAAACCCAAACTTTAAAAAAAATACAGTAATTTTTTTACCAAAACAAGGATTTGAAAAAGCAGACTGTGTCAGTTCAGCAAAGGGAGTGTGCTTTGATGTTTGTTATTCATATGTTCTCAGACCTCACAAACTTATTCTTGAATAGTTTGCTACTAAGCAACTTGAAGGCAAACCAGTTTCCTGCAATCTACTTCTGTTAGTCATCAGGACATGATTTCTTTAACCTGGTAGCCATGGCTACTGTGCAATTACAGGTGATTCCACAAAACACACATAGGCTAATTCACCTGCTAGAAAGTCACTGTGAACTCCTAACATACACTACAATGCTTACTAGTAGAGGCAAGTTTATTATAGAACATAAGGGAAGTGCAAATCTTTCTCTTTTTCTTCACTTAAATGTTTGATAAGCTAAATTGGTTGGCAGAAAATGTTATAAACGAGGCCAATTACTATTTTCAAACTCACTTGTGTATTCTGCGCTTTCAAGGCTAAGCTCTCCAGTGAATACATGTCTCTGCAGAGCAAAGCAAGTCACAGCATTCAGCCTGTGCTCAGCTCCTGCACTGAGAGGAGGGGGGTGCCTGTTCCCACCCCCTGCCAGCCAAAACAGCACGAGAGAGAAGCAGAACTAGAAAGCATACACGGCAGATTTATGCTTCAGGCCACATTTTCAAGGTACTAACATGTGACACATGTGTTTAGAAACACATCATAAATTTCTACACTCAAACTGGCACAACTGTATAAAAAACCACTTTTTGAAATGTGTTATTTAACAAATTGTCCTTAGCATCTACAAAAAGCAATAATTAACTTGGGTCTTAAAATGTGACAGTGAGAAAGGTGTTCATTTAATCAAACTTCAGCTGTCCATATCTGAGATGGTCACTTTAAATGCAGAGCAGAAAAACAGACGTTTCAGAGAGGGATTCGTCTGACCTATTTTAAATTCCTGCTTTAAGCTGTGATAAATCACATACTAGAGCGACTTCAATTTGCTACAAAGGAAGCCTAAACAAGTTCCTCCAATGCAGATCACTCAAACCCATCCTCCATGTTCAATTCTCCTAAGCCATTCTTTTTTGTATGCTTTAGACATTAAATTGAACAACAATATTCATCTCTGAGAGTTCTGCTTTACCCATCTGTCAAATCAACATGGAATAAACTATTCTTCATCTGACACTCATTATATATGCCTTGCTTTAAAAGCACCAGGTCTCAAGTTTGCCCCCACCCACCCCACCCTGTTTTGTACAAGTGCTTGATGACATGAAATTCAAATTAATCAAATAATTATTGCAGTAAACTCAAACTATGTGTTCAGTTTTCTTTTCTGGAAATCATGAATTAGTAAGTTACCAAAACCTAACTTACAGCTACAAAAATCATTGCTCAAACAATATGAAAGAGCACCTATGACCAATACAAAGAGTAATGCATGAACTAAGTTCTATTACTCTTTCCCTCCTCTTGATATTACTTAGAGAAGTGTAAATAAACAGCAACCATCCTACTTGCTGTATGATATATGCTTCTCTTTAGAAAGAGGTATTACTCTCTATAGGATCAATTTGCCAGCCAGTATTAACCAAAAGTCTGTTGTCTATCAGCTGCTATCACCCTGCCTCTGAAAGCTCATTTTTGCACCTGTGTAGCTTCTTTCCTAATGAACATTTGTATCCAGTCTGTTTGCAAGTATGGAAACAGACATTTAAAATAACCCCATAAACCACAACTTCACCATAGGATGAGATGTAAACAAGTTTTACTGCTCCTGCCAGTTATAATTTTGAATCTCAGGGAACAACAAATGAGGTTCCTATATCCTTCTGGGACATTCTTGCATGAAGCATAGCCTTACAATAGTGAGTTACTCTCTAGGAGTCACTGGTTTTCTCTCCAGTTCCATGAGTTCTTGCTGGCTCTAAGAGTGCTTTATTAGAAAACTTTGTGTGCTTTATCAAATCTTTCAGCATAAGAGATTTCCTGGATACAATATTACTATCATTAGTCAGACAGCAGATGGATTTAATTAACCCAGGGCTGCCCATTTCCAAATGTCTTTATTTCCCCATGCTTGCAGCACGTTTAATAACAAATACTGAGAACAAAATACTGTTCTTCCCACACTGTTCTCTTACAGGTGTAAATAGAAGCAAAGCAAACACATTGCAAATCCCATTTCTTACTAACTCCTCAGATGAGAATACTGTTAAGATTTATCTCCTTCCATCTAGCGCGGGTTGAAAATACATTAATTACAAGGCAGGAAACAACATTCCTCTCTCAGTGCAAACCAATAAGTTGTTTTGCCTTCCTCAGCAAACAGCTGCTTATCCACATGAACTCTGACAGCATTTCATTTGTTATAAGTAGCACAACAATCCTCCTAGGAAGAGGTAATTTCACTTATTGAAAGAAATAACAGTAATCTTAAGAAATTTACCAACATAAATATTACTCTGCCTTTGTTTGTATGCAGCAAACCTGACAGAATAGCTGGTAGTGCCTGAACATTAATCAAGCACCCAGCTGACTGAGAATTTCTTATTCTTATTTGATTATTTACTATAACTGGCTATGTACCAAAACCATGACTTCTAATGTGAATTTCAGCACAGGAAGAAAGAAAACACTCAAGTTCCTTAAACTTTTTCTGTTGCCAGCACAGCCTCTGTATCAAATTCCCCTTTCCAGCAAACAGAAAACAAGGCAATGAAGAGAAACTGGGAGCACTAACTTATACAAATGAGGTAATACTATGCAAGCCAGATGTGCTCTTGGATAGCTACACTTTGGCTTACAACCCAGTATTCAAAGATTCCAAAAGATTAGCTGAATCCAAGCTTAATACAGATGCTGCTATAACTGGATAGTCCAAGGCAAAAGTACATTTGGCTGCAGAATGAAAATCAGAATGAAAATTAAGATTTTTGATTAAAGGGAGGGGCAGGGGGAGAGGGGAAGCCCAAAACTAGCTTCTTTTAATCTACTACTAAAATTTTAAGCTAAAAATGTATGTACTGTCAGCAGTGTAAAATAGACATATCAGTAAAATATTAAAATGTCAGTGTTTTAGTGCTGCTGACAACAGGTAAGGGAGTATAGATATTAACACACTATCAAAGTATTAAAACGCAACTTCAAAAAATCAACATGGCATTCTATAATGATTTTACATATAATGTAACCAAATCACAGAAAATAAATCTTTTCCTACCTTCACACTACACAAAGACATTACATAAGGATTACAAAACCTGCAAACCACTTATGTAAAACCCCTGCATCCTAAAACCTGACACAACACCTAGGCCTTCTTTCCTTCAGCTACCAACCTATTACAGCTTGGGAGATTCCCACTTCCATTACCAATTACTCACCATAGACTTACAGAACATAATTTACTTTTTTCCATAAGGGAACCAAAACCATGTTGTCCTCTGTGTCACCTGGTCCCCTGCAGCAAGTGACAGCCTCAATCTACTGTACAAATTCATACATTCAAAAACTTGACACTCTACCTCTCATTTTCAGAGCACAGACTTTCTGTGCTGCATCCACAGAGCAACAAAATTCACAGCTAATTGACAGCAGAGCCCACAGTTTAATTAACGCTGCAGTCATAAATGAACCTTTATTTATATATAAATACATGCTAGTGAAAATATCTGCTATATTAAGCAAACAGAAGTCACATTAGACAAGAAATTGCAAATTGATTCCGAATAAATTGTGATGTAATGAGAAAACAAAATTGAACCAAGTATAATTAAATGAACTATACATAGCCACTAACTATTTCCTGTAATGCATGGATTAATGATTTACATTTAAATGCTTCTTTGATCTGATTAATTCTCTTTGTAGAAAGTTCTCCTTTAATTACAGTAATTCTTGAAGATTGTTATAAATCTTTGCAAAGGTCCAAATTTGGAAATTATGTAACAAAATAATGATTCCATACTTCAAAAATAATTTTCTGCATAATGAGAGACATATTTATCCAATAACGATGAGATGCTGATGAGAAGAGCATATGGAGAACAATATTGCTGCAATGAGCAGTGACAGAAATGCCAATGT